CATGGGGTGGGGTGGGGGCCCTGGGGCAGCATGGGTGGGGGTGGGGAGCCGGTGGGGCAGCATGAGGGGGGGGCATGGGACCAGCGCGGGGGGGGGGCGTGGGCAGCACGGGGCATGGGGCAGCGCGGGGGGCGGGGGCAGCACGGGGGGGCGGGGCAGCGCGGGGGGGCGTGGGGGGGCGTGGGGCAGCACGGGGGGGGGAAAAACAGGGGGCGCGCGCGGGGGGCCGTGGGGCCAGCGTGGGGGTGAGGGCAGTGCGTTGGGTGCCGGGGGGCACAGCATGTGGGTAAGGTGGCAGCATGAGTGGCAGGTGGGGCCATGGGGCAGTGTGGGGGATGGTGGGGGCAGCATGGTGGGGGGGGTGGGGGCTGGTGGGCAGCGCTGGGTGATCGGTGGGGGGAGCATCGGTGGGCCAGGTGGGGGCGTGTTTGGGGGGCAGGTGGGGGCAGCATGTTGGGTGGGTGGGGCAGCATGGTGGGGCGGGTGGGGGCGGGGGCAGTGTGTAGGACAGTGGGGGCCAGCATGGGGCAGGGGGGGCAGCATGTGGGGGGTGGGGACGTGGGGCAGCAGGGGATGTGGGGGGGATGGACGGTCCAGACTCGGGGGGCCGGGATGGGGGCCGGGGGGCAGCCTGGGGGTGATGGGTAGCGTGGGGGGCGGGTGGGGGCCGGGCTCCTCCCCAGGCCGGGGTCAGGGAGGGGGTCCCTGCTCTCCAGCCCCAGGGGTGCTCCTGAGCTCAGTGCAGACCTGGACCAGCTGAAGGAGATCATGAAGGTGACCGGCACGCCGTCGCCCGAGTTTGTGCAGAGGCTGCAGAGCGCGGATGTCAGTGGGGCGCTGTGGGTGGGGGGCCGCCCTGGCGTGGGGCCGGCTCCTCACCCCGTCTCCCCCACAGGCGAAGAACTACATGAAGGGCCTCCCCGAGCTGGAGAAGAAGGACTTCGCCTCCATCCTGACCAACGCCAGCCCCCTGGGTAGGGCAGGGTGGGGGCGCGGGGCGTGCAGCGGGGCGTCCCGAGCCCGGCCTGATGCGAGCCCCCCGCAGCGGTGAACCTCCTGGAGAAGATGCTGGTGCTGGACGCGGAGCAGCGGGTGACGGCAGCCGGGGCGCTGGCGCACCCCTACTTCGAGTCGCTGCACGACACGGAGGACACGCCCGTGGCCCAGAAGTACGACGACTCCTTCGACGACGTGGACCGCACGCTGGACGAGTGGAAGCGTGAGTGGGCTCCGCGCGGCCCTGCAGGCGGCCAGGCCAAGCCCTGCAGCCCTTCCCCGGGTCGCAGGTCAGCTGAAGAGGAGGGCGGGAGGTCAGAGGGCAGCGTAGAGCCACGCGGCCTGGGACCTGGGACCGAGGCCTCTGGCTGGAGCTGACGCATGAGGGGAGGGTGGCCCCAGACTTGCCTCCCCCCACCCCCAGTCCAGGCCAGAGACCGGGGCCACCCTGGAGCCCCCTCCGCGTCCACCTGTCCCCAGGGCCTCTCTGCTCACGGCCCTGCGTCTGCCCTGGCCTTTCCTCGCCCCATTTCAGGAGCCCTCCCATCTGGACGGCTGCACACACTCGGAGTCCTGCTCCCGGGAACCCCCAGGGCCTCGCCCTCCCCGGCTGCACACACTCGGAGTCCTGCCCCCGGGAACCCCCAGGGCCTCGCCCTCCCCGTGCAGCCTGACTGGGTTGTCCCTCCCCTGCAGCTGTGCCCTCCCCCTCCAGGCTTGGGGGGGGCACCCCTCCCTCAAAGGCCTGTCCTGTCTGAGCACTGGCAACCCCTGTGTGGCCGCAGCCCATGCTCAGGGAAGCCCCATGTTGGAGCTGGCCTCCGCTCTGGAGTGCTCTGGGGTGGCCGAGAGAGCTGGGCTGGTGCTCTCGGGGGCTGCATGGCCAGCCTGGGGTGGGGCACACTGCCTCCCCTCCCCTCCCTCCTCCCCTTCCTCTCCCTCCTCCCCCTCCCCTCCCCTCCCTCCTCTCCTCCCCTCCTCCCCCCTCCCCTCCCTCCCCCATCTCCTTCCACCCTCCGCCTCTCCTTCCCCCGTCCCTCCCTCCTCCCCCCCCTCTCTCTCCTCCCCTCCCTCTCTCCGCTCCCCTCCCTCCTCCCCCCCCTCCCCTCCCTCCCCTTCCCCCTTCTCCTCCCTACTCCGCCGCCTCTTTTCCTCCTCCCCTCCTCTCTCCCCCTCTCCTCCACCTCCTCCTCCCTCTCCCCCTCTCCTCTCCTCCTCCCTCCTCTCCTCCTCGCCTCCTCCTCTCTCCCCCTCCCCTCCATCCTCTCTTTCTCCTCTCCTCCTCCCCTCCCCCTCCTCCTCTCCTCCTCCCTCCCTCCTGCCCTCCCTCCTCTCTCCTCCCTGTCCGCTCCTCTCCTCCTCCCTCCTCTCTGCCCCTCCTCCCCCCTCCCTCCTCTCCGCCTCTCCCCCTCGCCTGCCTCCCTCCCTCCTCCCCTCCTCCCCTCCCCTGCCCTCCCCCTTACCCCCTCCCTCCCCCCTATATACTCCCCTCGCCCTTCCTCGCTCCCCTCCCCTTTCTTTCCCTCTCTCTCCTCCCCCTACCCCGTGGGGCTGGGTGGGTTCAGGTTCTCAAACTGTGTTCCTGAGGACCACAGGGTTCCTGGGTGCCTCCGGCAGGGGCCCCGCCCTTCTTCGTGCTGTGCTGTGCGCTTATGAGTTTGGTTTTGTTTGATGAAAGGTTTCTGATGCTAAAAAAGATAACTTGAAAACCACAGGCCACAGGATCCTCTCTGTGGTCCCCACCCACACACATTGTGGCTGGGCCCTTTTGCTTTCTCAGCCGCCCGTGGTGCACATGTGGCCTGTCTGTGGCCGAGCCCTTGGTCAGGAATGCAAGCGCTTGTCGCCTGCTGTTTTCCCTGGGAAAATCCAGACAGATAGCTGTGGGCACTTCACAGAGGCCTGCCTCAGTGCACTGGCCCCGCAGAGCTGGAGAGGACTGCCCCCCCCTCCCCCCGCGGCCCTGGCTCCACCCTGCCTGCTCTGTGAGCTGAGGACCCATCTCTGTCCTCACCTCTCAGGTGTCACCTACAAAGAGGTGCTCAGCTTCAAGCCGCCCAGGCAGCTGGGGACCAGGGTTTCCAAGGAGACGGCTCTGTGAAGACCTCTGGGCTCCGGGTTGGCAGAGGGGGCTTCTTGCCTTGGCCTCCCCCTGGGAGGGGGTCCTGGTCACCACCTTGACCCTGGCCGGGGCTGGCGTCCCAAGGCATCTACTGGGAGCAGAGCCCTCGTTCCATGGACCCTCCTTCCCAGGCCTGCGCCTCTGTTCTCCGGCACAACCTCCGCCCTGCAGAGGCGTCTGGACTTTCTGGACAGGACTTCTGCCCGAGCTGGGCATGGCCTCCAACCCCCGGGGCCTCAGCGCCCTGCAGGTGCAGCAAGAAACATCAGAGCTGGCGGGGCCAGGGGTCGCGCCCTGGTCTCCGAGTCCTGCGTGCCCCAGGCCCTGCTGGAGAGGAAGGGGGGGGGCGGGCGTAGGCCCCAGCTCAGGGTCAGCCACGGACTCTCCCGCAGCCCAGCCCGGAGCGTCAGTCGGCCCGTGGCGTGCGAGCGTGGCTAGAAGGGAATAAACGCTTTTGTAGACCTCGCTGTCCAGCTGTGTGTCCTGACGCTGCGTCCCCACCCTGAGGCCTCGGAGCTGCACAGAGATAGGAGCTGGCCTGAGAGCCGGGGTGGGGGGCTCCTGGGGGTCCTGCCTCCCCCAGGTCACAGAGCTGGTGCCCACGTCGCCAGTGATCTGTGAGTCCCCACGCTAGGGTGACCTTCCTCCGACAGCTCCGAGTGCAGGCTGCAGGGTGTGGACCAGGGGCAGGGCCTGGTGGGGGCCGTGTTAGGATCCAGCCTGGGCCTCGAGCCTGGCTGAGCTCCCTGCACCCTCCACCGCTAGAAGGTTCCTGGGAAGATGGGGGATGTGCGGAGCACCTCGAGACCCCTCCGGTCCTGCCCTTCCCCCCACAGGCCTCAGCCCATGCGTGGGCTCCCGCTGCCCTCCCTCTTCCCCACCTCCCATGGGCAGGTGCACCCAGAGTGGGGCCAGGCTGGGGCACAGCGATGTGCGGGGATCGGGGGGCAGGCCCGGGGCCCCCCCTCCTCCAGCTGGGAGTTTGGATGGACGTGTGTACAGTTGGCCCTGCCTAATTGGGTTCGATGAGTTGCCACACTGGACAGTGGCCTTCTCTGCCCAGGATCACGCTTGGGCCTCTCCTGCCCAGACCCTCTGTGCTCTCCGAGCCTCCACAGTTGGCTGGGAGTGGTCCCGATTTGCCAGACATCCGCAGCCCTTGCGCTCTGTCGGGTCCAGCGGTTTCTGCTGCTCGCAGGAGGGAGGCCCGGGTGGGGCTGGCCCTGCCTGGGGCTGAGCAAGGAAGGGGACTGGGGGCCCCAGGACCCTATGGCGGAGCACCAGGTGCACACTCCTGGCCACAGCGCCCGCCCTAGGGTTCTGGGCGAGGCTGCAGGTTTCCTCCTCTCTTGGGGAATCTTGCTCTGTGGCTGTGCCAGCACCCCCTTCCTTCACACGCTGTGCCCCTTCCGTCAGACCTGCCCTGCCTCCCCGACTGCCCCGGTTCCTGTCCAGCATCTTGGCCTCTGCCCTGACTCTCTGACTCTGTCAGTTGTCCTGCCAACTTGGGGACTGAGCCACAACCACTGCCTGGGACCACCAGCTCCCCACTCCCAGAAGCCACTAGCCCTGTGGACCTCAGCTTCAGCCCCTCCTTCAACTGGCTCCTCCTCAGCCCTGGTGGGCAGGCCCCAGGCCACAATGGACGTGGGGTGCTGCCAGCCTGACCCCAGGCCTGTGTGTTCAACGTGGGCTTGAGGGAAGTTGGGGGCAGAAGGGAGCGTGGCCGGGTGGGGCAGGGGCCCAGGGACAGCCCCAGAGGGCCTGGGCACGCCACGCTCCACCCTCACCCCGCTGCCCACCGTGGCAGCTCTGGAGGTGGAGGAGGCGGGTGCAGGGGGCGGGCGGGTGGCGGGGCCTCCTCTGGCCCGTCCCGCTTTGGGGCGGGGATTGCTGCCGCCAGGGGTGGAACAGGACCCAGTCCCAATCACAGGAAGCCGGAAGCCCGCCCTGGCGCCATCTGTGCACCGGGGACTTTGAGCTGCCCGAGTCCCGAGTGTCCCTGCCCTGGCCCCACCTGCCGCCCTGGCTCTGTCCCAGGCAGGTCCCAGGCACCGGGCTGCTCCCGGGGCTGCCATGTGGGCATAGGATGTGCAGTCACCCTTGAGGGAGGGGTTTGGGTCCTGCCACCCGGGAGTGATGCAGAGTAACCACAGCCCAGCCATGGGGACCGCGCTCGTGTACCACGAGGACATGACGGCCCCCCGGCTGCTCTGGGATGAGTAAGTGTGGCCTGGCTGAGGTTGGGGATGGTGGGGAGCTCTGGACACTGAGCCCCCAATCTGCCCCAGCCCCGAGTGCGAGATCGAGTGTCCCGAGCGCCTGACTGCAGTCCTGGACCACCTGCAGCAGTTTGGCCTGGAGCAGAGGTGCCTGCAGCTGTCAGCCCGCGAGGCCTCGGAGGCAGAGCTGGGGCTGGTGCACAGGTCAGACCAGGAGCCACAGGTTGGGGGGCAGCCTGCCCGGGAACCTGGGCCTCCCTAAGCCTGCCAGTCTCACCGTCGGGTGGGTGGGTGAGCAGTTCGCAGGCACGAAGCAGCAGGGGTGGGCCCCAACTCCTGCCCTCCCTGCGTCTGTGGTGACCCTGCTTTCCTTGCCTGTCTGCCGTCTGCAGCCCGGAGTACGTGGCCCTGGTGCGAGGGACCCAGGACCTGGGCAAGGGGGAGCTGCAGGCGCTGTCCGGACAGTTCGACGCCGTGTACTTCCACCCGGTGCGTGCCCTGTGCACACCCACCCTCCCAGATACACCCACACGCCTGCGTGCTCACACTCAGCCCCAAGCCCTGTGCACGCATGTGACAGCACCCTGCATGCCCTGCTTGCTGCTGCTGCTGGCACCCGGGCCTGTCCTGTCCTGCCCAGCGGTCGGTACCCTGTGGCCTGGCATGGGGCTCACTTGCACCCCTGCCCCGCAGAGCACGTTCCACTGTGCCCGGCTGGCTGCGGGGGCTGCGCTGCAGCTGGTGGACGCCGTGCTCCTGGGAGCCGCGCACAATGGGCTCGCCCTGGTGAGGTGAGAGCTGCCTGCCCCCTCCTGGGTGGCCTGGGGAGGGGACAGGAGGACCCTGATGTGGGCGATACCCCACTCTCACCCCCCAGGCCCCCTGGGCACCACAGCCAGAGGGCGGCTGCCAACGGGTTCTGCGTGTTCAACAACGTAGCTATAGCAGCTGAACATGCCAAGCGGAAACACGGGCTGCACAGGTGTGTGCCAGGCTGGCTGGGGTGGTGGAGGACCCAGGCCAGATGGGAAGGGGCAAACGAGGCCGACAGCCCACCCGGCCGCCTCCCATTCCTGGCTGGAGGTGGGAGGCCCCAGTGACCCCCAGCACTGTCTGTCCCAGGATCCTCATTGTGGACTGGGACATCCATCACGGCCAGGGCACCCAGTACATCTTTGAGGATGACCCCAGGTGAGCTGGGGGCAGTGACACAACCCTTCCCTACAACCCCACTTTTGGGGTGCACAGCCTGGCCTGGGAAATCCAAGGGGGGGAGATGCAGCTGTGTCCTCCTGGGTCAGGTTCTTCGAGGAGCCACGGAGCTGCTAGGGTCTTGACCTCTGACCCCTGACCCCGGCTGGCCGTTTGCAGTGTCCTTTACTTCTCCTGGCACCGCTATGAGCATGGGCGCTTCTGGCCTTTCCTGCGAGAGTCCGATGCAGACACTGTTGGGCGGGGACAGGGACGTGGCTTCACTGTCAACCTGCCCTGGAACCAGGTGCCCGCGCTCAACCCCGGGCCCCCCACCCTACGGGTCTGGGCCTCCAGAGTGTGGCCCGAGTCCCCACTGGCAGCGCTGGCCCACTGATACCCTGCACACCACCCCACCCCACCAGGTCGGGATGGGAAATGCCGACTACATGGCCGCCTTCCTGCACCTGCTGCTGCCGCTGGCCTTTGAGGTGACTGCACGGTGGGTGGGCCCCAGGGCAGGCAGCCCCCCAGCCCTGGGGCAGGTGGGCGGGAGATGAAGGCAGGAGTGGGGAGGGCCTCTCAGCAGCAGTGGGCTGGTGAGGCAGGCAGCACCAGGCTCCCCCTGCACCCGCTCCAGCCTCCTCCTCCCCCTCTGCACCCTGGCACGGCCTGTAGTTTGACCCTGAGCTGGTGCTAGTCTCCGCGGGATTCGACTCGGCCATCGGGGACCCCGAGGTGAGGGCCTGGCCCGGCCGGGGAGGGCCTCTGGGGTCCTGGGCCCGGCCCCCATCACGCACAGCTCTGGTTCCAGGGGCAGATGCGGGCCACACCGGAGTGCTTCGCCCACCTCACACGGCTGCTGCAGGTGCTGGCCGGCGGCCGGGTCTGTGCCGTGCTGGAGGTGACAGGGGAAGGTGAGGGGGGCTGGAGGCTTGGAGCTTGGGAGCCCAGCCCCACACAGTGACACCCCTGCCCTTCTCCTAGGGCGGCTACCACCTGGAGTCCCTGGCGCAGTCGGTGTGCATGATGGTGCAGGCCCTGCTGGGGGACCCGGCCCCACCCCTGCCGGGGCCCCTGATGCCTTGTCAGAGGTGAGAAGGGGGCGGGTGGAGAGGGCGGGGGGGGGAGGGGGAGGAGGACAGGCCTCGCCTCACCACTCTCGATTCACCCACGCAGCGCCCTGGAGTCTATCCAGAGTGTGCGAGCAGCCCAGGCCCCTCACTGGGTGAGCCTCCAGCAGCAAGGTTGGTGGGGCCTGGGCCTGGGCTGGGGCATCCCCCCTTGCGCCTCTTTGCAGTGGCAGTGACTCTAAACTGTCCCTAGATGTGGCCCCTGCACTGAGTCCCAGCGCCCACTCTCCGGAGGGGGGGCCCCTGTCTGTGCTGCCCGGGGGCCCTGCATGCGAGGCGGCAGTGGCCGCTGCGCTGAGCTCCCTCCTGGACCAGCGGCGGCTCCACCCCACACCCCCCGTCCGCACGGCTGTTGCCCTGACGGCGCCCGATGCCAGCCTGGGCCTGCCCCCTGACGTTCTCCATCAGGAGAAATCAGCACCGAGGGAGGAGGCAGAGGCCTGGGCCAGGTGGGCAGGGCCGGCCTGGGGAGAGCGGTGGGGCCGTGTCTGTGCAAATGCCGGTGTGCAGTCACTTTGTGGCCACTTGTCCATGTGTTCTGTCCACCACAGGCCACATGGATCCCTGGCCCAGGACGAGGCCCTCACTGCACTTGCGAAGCTCCTGTACCTCTTAGATGGGATCCTGGCTGGGCAGGTGGGGGTACCTGGGAGGGGCTGGGGGTGCTGTGGACTCGGTAGGGCCCAGGACCTGACACTGAGGTGTGGCCAGTGCAGAGGGGGCTGGGTGGTATAGAACCACAGGGACATGGGTGTCGCCTTGTGCCAGGAGCCATTCCCAGAACTGACCGGGGGACGGGATTGTGGGTGTCCCCTGCCTCAGCCTCCCCAACTAAATGTTCTTTGGCAGAGAGGTGAAGGGGACAATTTAAAGTATAGATTTATCCCACATTCTGTGCCCCAAAAGGATGATAATAATGAAAGAACTAAGTATAGATTTAAGCATCTTATTTTCAGAAATGGAGTGATTTGACCCCAGAGTGTAAGCAAGGACAGATAACAGCCATGTAGACACAGGCCAAAAGGAGCCACGACTGGGTCTGTTTACCTGGTCTGGTCTGGGGGGGCTGGTGCCCCCTCCCCCACAACTGTTGATTCATCGCACAGGTGAGCAGCGGTATCGCAGCCGTCCGGGCCTCTGCTGTAGTGGCCACCCTGGATGTGGCCATTCGGAGAGGGCTGTCCCGTGGAGCCCAGAGGTGAGCCCCCCAAGGGCAGGGCCTGTGGGTAGCCCCTGCCCCAGCTGGCCACATGGGGAGAGCTCTGGGAATGGAGTCTGGGCAGTGTGGACACAGCCTGTCCTGGGGCCAATTCTTCCTCCAGGCTGTTCTGCGTGGCCCTGGGACAACTGGACCGGCCCCTCGACCTCCCTGACGATGGGTATGACTCAGGTCACGCATCTATCCAGTCAAGCACATGGATGGGCATGTGGGTGGGGCACTCTGTATACAGAATGGGGCCTTCCTCAGCTGGGGTTTGGGATGGGGCAATGCCAGGCGGGCCTTCCGCACAGAGGGTCAGCAGTCAGAGCTCCCTGGCTCTTCTCTGCCTTGTCTCTGCTGCCTGGGCTCACTCTCGTCCATGTCCTTGCTCTCCCTGGAAGGAGGACTCTGTGGCTGAGCATCAGTGGCAAAGAGGCAGCTGCCCCCTCCATGTTCCATGTCTCCGTGGCACTGCCAGGGGTGAGTGGCCATGCCGTGTGGCAGGGAAGCTGGGGGAGGACCCCGTTAGTGTGTGCAGCTGCCCTCACTGACACTGTCATGAGGGCTAGGCCCCTGGCCCCTCCTGGCTCCCTGCTCACTTCCCAGGAGGCAGGGGCAGAGCCAGCGGGAGGGGAGTCCCTGGATGAGAGGCTGGGGCCCTACTGTATCCACAGATGACTGGTGGGTTCCTGAGCTGCATCTTGGGCCTGGTGCTGCCCCTGGCCTACGGCTTCCAGCCCGACCTGGTGCTGGTGGCCCTGGGGCCTGCCCATGGCCTGCAGGGCCCCCACGCAGCTCTCCTGGCTGCAGTGCTGCGGGGGCCCGCAGGGGGCCGAGTCCTGGCCCTGGTGGAGGAGGTGAGTCGGGTGGGTGGGTGGACCCGCGGTGGGGTGGGGGCTGGGAAAGACAGTGACTGCTTCCCCTGGGCGCTGGTGCAGGAGTCCACGCCCGAGCTGGCCGGGGTCCTGGCCCGGGTGCTGCACGGAGAGGCGCCTCCCAGCCTGGGCCCTTTCTCGGGGGCCGCTCCAGAGGACGTCCGGGCCCTCAGGGACCTCAGACGGCAGCTGGCGCCACAGTGGAAGATGCTGCAGGTGGCCGGTGAGGCCGGCTGAGGACTGGCGGCGGGGACGGGCGGCCAGGGCTCCCGCAGCCGCGACGGCGCGCTCTCCCGCCCCCTGCCCCAGCGCCGTCCTCCCCAGGCAGCGCGGACCCGGACGCGGCGGGAGCGAGCGCGCCGCAGAAGTAACAGGGAGCGCCAGCCCCAGCCCGGCCAAGCTCCGCAGCTCCCCACCTCCCGCCGCCTCCCCTGCCTCGCCGGTCCCTACCCTCCCGGCCCAGCTCCGCCCCGCCCCGCGGCTGCCCCGCCCCACGTCAATAAACTTGGAGAAACCAGAGTCTGACTCCGCCTCCTTCACACCGGCCAAGGCCGGCCTCCCGGCGCGCGCGACTCAAGCGCCAGCCGGAAGTGCGCTACGGAAGCCGCAGGGCGGGGCCAGACCGCGGCTCAGGCCACGCCCCCCGACGCTCACTGGCTGCCTCCCTCCCCTCTGACGCAATTCCGGTGCGCTGGTTGTTGTGGCGCTCTTGACGGTCGCGTGGCCGTGACGCAGCGGCGGGAGCGGGAGCGGGAGTGGGAATCAATGGTTCTCTGCCCTGGTGAGGCCTGGCGACTGGGCTGGCGTACAGGTCAGACCCCAGCGTCCCTGCCCGCGCCGCTGTTCCCCTCCACCCCGGCCTCACCTCCAAACTCCCCCTTTAGTGTGCGAGGCCCTGGGCGGCAGCCGCTCCCAGACCTACAAGGGGACCCCGAGAACGCGCGCAAGGCCGCGTACATCCACTATGTACTGCCCGCATGCATATTTTGTTCTTCGGGTTTTTCACGTTCTGCGGTCCCCTGAAGGTTAAGGACTACTGAATTAGAAGAAAAACGCCGAGCTCCTGCGGCCCGGCCTAATGGCCACCGGGGCAGCACAGGCGGGCTTGGGAGGGCAGAGCATGCTTACTCCGTGTTGAGCAACCCGTTTAAAGTGCAGGTTCTGAGCTTCAGGGTTAAGAGGCTACCTGTCATTTTGCCCTGTCTGACCTCCCACTCCCTGTCTCTTTCAGAATGTGAAGTGAAGTCGGGGCGAGGTGTTTTCTCACACGTTGGGGGCCCGGAGTTGAGAAGGGGTCGGCATGGCCAGCATCACCCAGCTCTTCGATGACCTGTGTGAGGCCCTCCTGCCTGCTGCCAAGACTCACCTGGGCCAGCGCAATGTGAACCGGAAGAGGGCAAAGCAGAGCCTCAAGAGGGTGGCCTACAATGCTCTTTTCACAAATCTTTTTCAAGATGAGATGCATCAGCTGCAGCCTGACCTGTCAAAACTCCCAGTGAGAAACAAAATCCTAATGTTGTCCTTTGACTTAAGAGTTGGTGGCCTGGGCCCCGAGGCAGACCGTTTGGAGGAGCTTGTGGAGGAGCTTGAAACAGCCCCTTGCTGTCCGCTTGTGGAGGTGGGGTCTGTTTTGGATCTCCTGGTTCAGCTGGCAGGGAGTGGTCCCCCTCAAGTACTGCAAAGAAAACGGGACTACTTTCTTAACAGCAAGCATGTTGGGAGAAACATTCCATATGGTGGGTATGACTGCTATGACCTGAGTGTGTTTGAGATGGACATTCAGTCTTTGATCTCCAGAGAGGAATCTTTGTGTCACAGCATGATCCAGGAAACACTTCAGGTTATGGAGGCTGCCCCAGGCACTGGCCTGCCCACCGTTGGGCTCTTTTCATTTGGTGACCCTTGCAGTGACAGATTTGAGAGAGACACCCGGGTCTCACTCTTTGGTGCCCTTGTGCACAGCCGCACTTACGACATGGATGTCCGACTGGACCTGCCCCCGGTGCCAGACAGTGCAGACCTCTCTGGACTGGCCATTAAGGTAGAGTGTTTGTTTTCCTGCTTTTATCTCTCTGGGGATTTGGAAAATGCCTTCTTTGGTTTTTCTTTTATCTTGGTAAAAGCATGGCTCAAGTCTAGGTCACCTGATGGCTGAGCTGTCTTGAGGAAGGGATGCTGGAGTGGGCTCTCTGGTGCCACCCTCCTGAGCAGGGAGGGTACTGCCCATCCACAGGCCATGGAAACATGCTGCTTTTCATCTTTTACCTAATAGAGCATGTTATTAAGTCATTTCTGTCCTCTAGAGTGCCTGTTTAAATTTAAGTTAATTGAAATGAAATAAAAATTCAGTTTTTTTTTTTTTTTTTTTTTTGAGACAGACACTCGCTTTCTTGCCTAGGCTAGAGTGAGTGCCGTGGTGTCAGCCTAGCTCACAGCAACCTCAAACTCCTGGGCTCAAGCAATCCTCCTGCCTCAGCCTCCCGAGTAGCTGGGACTACAGGCACAAGCCACCATGCCCGGCTGATTTTTATATTATATATATTAGTTGGTCAATTAATTTCTTTTTATTTTTATGGTAGAGACGGGGTCTCGCTCAGGCTGGTTTTGAACTCCTGACCTTGAGCAATCCGCCCGCCTCGGCCTCCCAGAGTGCTAGGATTACAGGCGTGAGCCACCTCGCCCGGCCTCTTTTTTTTTTTTGTGACAGAATCTTACTCTGTTGCCCGAGCTAGGGTGCCGTGGTGTCTGCCTAGCTCACAGCAACCTCAAACTCCTAGGCTCAAGCGATCCTACTGCCTCAGCCTCCCAAGTAGTTGGGACTATATGCGTGCACCACCACACTCAGCTAAATTTTTTTCCTATTTTTGTTCATCTAATTTATTTTTTATTTTTAGTAGAGACGGGGTCTCGCTCTTGTTCAGGCTAGTCTCGCTCTTGTTCAGGCTAGTCTCGAACTCCTGACCTCAAGCAATACCTCCTGCCTCAGCCTCCCAGAGTGCTAGGATTACAGGCATGAGCCACCACGCCTGGTCAAAAATTCAGTTCCTTAGTTGCTCAAGTCACACATGGCAAAAATATTTGTTCATGTTGTACATGCATTTTGACTGACTTTTCCCACCTATAATATGGGGATTTTTTCTTATGTTATGATGTAAGTCATTATTGACTTTTGTGCTTTATAAATATCGCTAAAAGTGTTACTTTTAGTCATTCGTTACTATGAGATATTCAGGTTATTTCCAGATGTAAATGGTGCTACCATAGACATCTTGGTGTATATTAATTTTTTTGTATGTGGTATGACTTTTTATGCTGAGTTCCCCAAAATGGAATTTCCAGGTCAGAGGCATTCCCTAAAACTTTCATCGTAATTTATATTGAGGCATGTGTGAGGAATTGGACATTGAAAGTTTTAATAAATCATTTTCTTTAATTCTGTAAATGGTTTGTTGGAGGAAAACATTGTACAGCACACACGTGCTGGGTCTTTGCCTTGGTGAGCAAACAGGAGTGCAAGTGAAGCCCCTGTGACGAGTCGTGGGGGCAGAGGAGCGGGTGGTGATGTGTCTTCCGTGTGCTCTGCAGGTTCCTCAGAGTGTGGACCAGTGGGAGGACGAAGGGTTCCAGTCAGCTTCCAATTTGACGCCGGATTCCCAGTCTGAACCCAGCATGACCCCAGACCTGGACCTGTGGGAAGCCGCGCTGACTTACGAGCCCAGCAAGCGGAGGTGCTGGGAGCGAGTTGGATGGTGCGTGGGCCTTTCTCTGCCTTCACCTGCACCACCCCCACCCTGCATGAGCATGGCCCTGGCATGTGGAGGGCAGTGCGTGCTCAGTGAGCCCATGCAGCTCGGATGGGGTTAGGAATCTGGATGTTTCAGCCAGACTGGTGTACAGAATTGTCTGAGTCCCGCCAGTGAAGAGAGATGCACAGGGAAACGACTTCCAGCCTTTAAGGAAGTTCCTGCATTGCCTTAATCTCAGCAGGGTGGTCAGTAGGCAGCTGAGTTAAGTCCTTACTACCAGGGCTCCCAGGTAGCCGAGGGCTGCCTAACAGGCTGTGTGGTCAGTGCAGGAAGAAATGCCATCTGGGCACAGGGTGCTGACGGAGGAGCCTTTTCTTTTCCACCTCTGGAAGAGTTGGGAGTAGCACTCTGGCTGGTGAGAGATTCTGGCTGTAGCATCCTTTGCCTGACTGGTGCTAGTAGTTTGCTCCCTGGATGGAGTGGCCACTCATTCCCTGGGCTCATCTGGGTCCAGAGGTCTCTGCACTCAGGACCTCCCAGAGTCTTTGATGTGCTGGTATCTCTCAAAAACTCCCAGAACTGGAGTTGAAGACAAACATTGCCCTATTGTTGGGTCATGGAACCCCCCCTTTCACTTCCAATCCACTGGTGATACCTGGTTTGGGGAGCACTCAGTTAAAGAATCAGGACGGGCAGGGAGCTGAGTGCCCCCTCATGCTGCCCCCAGAGCCTGCAGCGTCCCCTGGAGAGGAGCACATGTCCAGTGGGCTTTCCTGGATGTTGTCATCTACCCCCAAGTGGGTCCCTCCAGGGATGCCTGGCTCCCTGCTTTCCAGCACAAAGATGTGGGCAGTTGTCTTGCTTTTCTTCCCTGTAACATGCTGCCAGGGCCTCAGTCCTGTCTTTGCATGTACAAAGCAAATATGATGGTCCTGCTCTCTGCTAACCCCTCACATGTTTAAAAACTGGCCCTACAAGTTACTGCTTTTTTCTGTAAATATTTGCTAGTGGTATTTCACTGGTTAGCTTACACTTTTCTAGGTTTAGTTTTACAGGTCATTGTTTAGGAGACATGATGACTCGTCAGTTCACCATACTTGTCATCTGTTCTTAGTGCACTTAATCCTCTTCCTGTGCTCTGAAAGGACAGAGCTGAGCACAGAGCTCCAGCATTGAGGAGCACCCTGGCAGTGCTTCCTACGCGGAGGACTACAGCTGACATTCCTGAGACGTTGGTGTGTGCCCAGCAGTGTGCTTAGCTCAGCCGGGGCAGCTTCCGCAGGCACCCTTCCCCAGGGCCTCACAGAGCAAAGATGCTGTGGTCCTCCTTGTGACGGCAGCTATCACGGGACCTGTACAGGGTCATGTGGTGGCTGGGCCCGAGTTCACCTATCCCATGCCTCTCCACTGCCCATTTGGTTGTAAACCTGACCTATGACCCCTGACATTGCAGACGAGTCAGGCTGAGGCATTGTTGCCTGGGTTAGAGTGCAGTGGCGTCAGCCTAGCTCACAGCAACCTCCAACTCCTGGGCTCAAGCAATTCTCCTGCCTCAGCCTCCCGAGTAGCTGGGACTACAGGCATGTGCCACACCAGGCCGGGCTAATTTTTTCTATTTTTAGTAGAGACAGTGTCTTACTGTTGCTCAGGCTGGTCTCGAACTCCTGAGTTCAAACTATCCGCCCGCCTCGGCCTCCCAAAGTGCTAGGATTATAGGCGTGAGCCACTGCGCCAGGCCTTTCATAGGCATTTATTGTTTTTGAATCACTCTCTTCCTTCTATTCCAGCTTGATTCTAAATGTTCCTTCTAAGAGCGCACACACCGGGTGCCGGGGCGTGGTCACTGCATCTGCTGATGGCTGTCTTCTGTCTCCCTCACAGCCCCCCTGGCCACAGAGAGGAGCCCTACCTCACAGAGGCGGGAAGGGACGCCTTTGACAGGTTCTGCAGGCTGCGCCAAGGGGAGCTGCAGCTGCTCAGCGGGGGCCTCCTGCAGGCCCCGCAGCCCGTGCTGGTGAAGGAGTGCGAGCTGGTGAAGGATGCGCTGAACGTCCTGATCGGGGTTGTGTCCGCCACGTTTTCCCTCTGCCAGGTGAGAAGCGCTCTCTTCTGGCCGCGGGACCCGCCCTCCGCCAGTCCTTGCGTGGGGCAGAATGAGGCAGTCATCCCATTTCCGTTCTCAAAAGTGTTAATTTATTAATGTCCTTTTAAAAACGGAACCAGAGTAAGATGCTTATCGCTCTCAGTGAAACAACAGGAAACACACGTCCTTTTCCAGTCCCATCTTGGAAAAGTGCTGAGGTGCCTTCCGGGCCTTCTCAGTGCTCCCGAGCAGTGGGGGTGCCTTCAGGAGCACCTGCCTCGAGGAAGAGTGTCACACTCTTTGGGGACTCTGCCACTTTTCTTCTCACAGACGTCTCCTGGCCAGCATGCTGGGGCTCCTGGGTTCTGGGCGGGAGCTGTGCCTCATCCAGCCCTCTTGCTGGGCGCTTGAGGAGCAAATGAGTATGTTTAGAAAAATGAAGTCCTGTTGTGCAGTGTTTTTCTTCCTTATAAGTGCTCATCCTCTTTCTGTATCTCAAGTGTTCTTTTGTGGTGGCTTCTCAGACTTTTTTCTTTTGTTGCCTGTGCTTGTGGTGCCATATGCAATAAATCATTGCCAAAGTTCAAGATCATGAAGATTTCCTCTATTTTATTGTTTTTTACTTTTTATTTTTTCCGAAACAGGGTCTTGTTCTGCTGCCCAGGCTGGAGTGTAGTGGCGTCTCATAACCCACTAACTTTGGATTCCTGGGTTAAGATTTGCTCTTATGTTTCTTTTTGAGAGTTTTCTACTTTTAGCTCTTAAAGTGTGCCATTTTAAGTTGATTTTTTTTCATGGTATAAGTCAAGAGTCTAACTTAATTCTTGTGCATGTGGACATCCAGTTGTCTAGCACCATTTGTTGAAAAGACTGTCCTTTCTCCATTGAATGGTCTCGGCACCCTTGGTGAAAATCAGCTGGCCACATCTGTGTGAGGGTTTATTTCTGGACTCTATTCTATTTAATCCGTCTATGTGTTTATTCTTACACCAGTACCACACTGTTTAATGACTATAGCTTTGTTTCGAACTCCTGACCTTGAGCAATCTGCCCACCTCGGCCTCCTAGAGTGCTAGGATTACAAGTGTGAGCCACCTCGCCCAGCCATGACTATAGCTTTGTAATAAGCTTTGAACTGGGGAAGTGTGAGTCCTCCATCTTTGTTCTTCCTTTTCAAGATTGTTTTGGCTATTTGGGGTCCCTTGAGATTCCATATGAGTTTTAGGATAGGTTTTTCTATTTCTGCAAAAGACTGTTGTTGGTATTTCAATAGGGATTGCATTGACTCTGTAGATCCCTTTGAATAGTGTCTATTTTCAATATTAAG